CCACGCTGACTGAGACAAAAGGCATAAGGGAATCAAGGCTGCAGAGGGAATTTATGTTGCTAATCAGCTGACCTTAAAACAGGGAGATTATCCTGGATGAGACCAGTGGAATCACAAGATTCTTTAAATATGGAAGACAGAAGCAGAAGAGCGGAAGTCAGAGAGAGATCTGAAGATGTTACACTGCTGTCGCTGATGATGTTGGAAGGGGCAACAAGCCAAGGGATGCAGGTACCTCTAGAATCTAGAAAGGACAAGGAAACAGATTCTCATTTGGAGCCTCCAAAAGGAACGAAGCCCTGCCAACACCATGATTTTAGCCCAGTGAGACCCTTTCAGACTTCTGACTTCTGTAACTCTTAGAGAATAAATTTGTGCTGTTTAAGTTTGTGGTCATTTGCTACAGCAGCAACAAGAGACTAATGCTGCTGCTGAGAAGGGAATTAGCAGCTGTCAGCAAAGGAAGGAAGAAGTTCAGCTATGAAGGGTTTGTGCAGAAGCCCAGAGTGACAATTAGCCCTCCACTTCCTCCTATTCTGATTACAGCTAGTAGAACTTCCTGAAAGATTTTAATGAAACGAGTTTTCTCAAACTTTTAAAATATTCTACTGGTCATTTCAGTAGCAAGATGGAATTGGGGAACAGTCAAGATACTTGTGCTCCCGTAGGCTTCACATCCAAAAGCTGTTAATGAAAGTTTGACTGAGCCTATGAAGCAATTGAAATGATCTTCTTAGAATACCGTGTTAATTACGAAGATGGGTGTGAATTATTCAATCATCCATTCAAAAAATATCTATTAAGCATGTACTCTATGTCCAGTTCCCTGAGAATACAACAGTTCAAAACGCCATGGTAATGCTTTTATGAAACCCACAGTCTTCAAAACTTTACAAAAATACTCAGGGCCATTCACTTGGAAAAATATCAAATCTTAGAGATGAATCAGTCAAACTCTTCTATTTTGTAGATGACAAAAATGAGATCTAAAGAGGTCAGTTAAATTAGCTAAATATATATATAATTTGTTTTATAGCCTAGGACAAATCATTTAGCCTAGAAGAGTACCTTTCCCGTAACACGTAATAAGGCACTCTTCTAGGTTAAATGATTTGTCCTAGGTTATAAAACTAACTCACGGTGATGGGAGGGCCAGAGCCTGGGCTTCTCTTGAGATCACAGTGGAAATTTCTTCAATAGTGTCACATCCAACTCTTAGTTCAATCTCCTCGATTCATAGCAGAGAAAATCCAGTCCCACAGATGTTAAGGATCTAGCTTAAAGCAGAAATCAGTAGTCCTTTAGGGAATCTGAAGGATGGAGGACAGAGAAGGCACAGAGAGGACAACCTTCGTAGCCCTTAGATGTCCCTTGCTTTCTCTGGAAGGACAAACAGTAATCGCAGACTCTGGAGGCCTGTCCCTGGATGTTGCTGGAAGTAGAAGAATGTGGTGTTGGCTGGCTCTACCCTAGAGGAACCAGAGTTCATGCTCATGGCACCCCATCCCCTCATTCTGAGTCTCCTACTTTTATGCCTAAGATGCAAATTGTGCATTTTGAGGAGTCTTTGGGCACCCAGAATCTCGAGAGTTTGGTGGGATATTGGATGGCACAGCAGAGAGTGTAGATCAAGGACTGCTCAGATTGTAGGTAGGGTTGCCAGACAATATATAGAATGCGTAGTTCAATTTAGATTTCAGATAAAATTGTGTCCCCAATATGACAATATGCAAAAAATTAATCCTTGTTTATCTGAAGTTCAAATTTCACTGGGCATTCTGTATTTTTATCTGCTGAATTTGACAACCCTAAATTTGTGGGGGATGAAGGCAAAGTCATGGCAGATACCAGAGTCTGCCTTTGCACAGGCTGTTTGAGTAAGAAGAGGAGAAAAAGAGAAAGAAACAAAAGAAACATAACAGTTCCTGAGAAGCGAAATCCATTAATGGACCCCTCTCTCTCTCCTTTTGATCCTTTGTGCATGTGTGTATACATACATATATACGAACCTTCATGTTTTGTTGACACAAGGATTATGTTATTGAGGAAAATTGTTGACAGTGATACTGATTACAGATATTGACAAAAGAACAGTGAGAAGATTAAAAACGGTAAAAATGTGGTTAGTTTAAAAGTAATGCTCATTATCGCATTTATGTAAACTGCCTATCATTTATGCCCAACTCCCACACAGGCCAATCACAATTTTGCTTGTTCCCAATCTTTACGCATTTTCAGAGAAGCATAAAATGTTCCTAAAGAGTCTGAGAGATCACCTAGTCCAACCTTGACATTTACAGATTAAGTAACCAGGACTCAGAAAGGAAGTGACCAACGCCGGATCCAGCTGCCTAATAATATTCATAATGGAACAACATTTTTTTGAGGGCTTACTAAGTGCCAGGCATTTTTCTAAGTGCTCTACTTATGTAATCACATTTAATCCTCACAACAACCCTATGATCACCCTCATTACTCAAATGAGGCAAAATGAGGCAGAGAGAATTGTGTAGTTTACCTAAGGTTCAAGGTTATACAGCTAGTAAGAAGAGGTGCCTCCTAAAAACCCAGCTAGTTTGGCGCTGGACCCTACACACTCAACCATGAAACCCTGCAGCCTCCCAAATAAGATGAATTTATATCACTAAACATGTCCCTACCTGCAAACTTTCACAGATCACTGCTCCCGTAGCACGATTTTGTACTTAATAACAAGGTCACCTGAACACAGATTATAGAAAGCCGATTGGACGCGGTTGCCATACATGTCAATTTCAGAGTGGAAGGCATCATCTGGCCACTTATAAACAAGCCCTATAACGGGGAGTCTTGCTATGATCAGAGAGCAATTTAGTTTCATTTATTTTTTGAAATGTTTTTAATGAAATATGGAACACAAGTTCTACCATCAAAGCAAACAGCAGAGAAATGGAAAGAGTTATATGAGTTTACATTTTGAGTAACTCATGAAAGAAAAGAAGGAAAAGAAAACACAGAGAGAGAGAGAGAGAAATCAAAACAGAGAAGAGGCCTTCCTTATCCATCGTCAGCCACAAAATAAACCAAGTTCCTTAGGAAGAGCCCGGCCCTCTAGTTAGCATGCTGCCACCACACTGCTGTGTTGGTGCAGCTATGGCTGTAATTATCTCCGGGAAGAATAATTACCATCCTCAACATGACATTTATGTAGTTTTACATTCTGCTTGTTTTTCTTCTCTATCTTTCAGGAGATGACCAATCCCTTGCATCTCAGGTGACCAAACCACTTTGTCTATTTCCAGACCCCAGCTTCCCCATTTATCCAAGGTGAAGGATTAAGCATGCCTGTCTGCTTTGAGATTGTGTTTTCCTGAGGTTTCCCTTTCCATGACACAAAAACTTATCCAAACTTAGAAAAAAAAAAAAAAGGCGAAGTGGCGATTGGAATTCTCCGAAGCTGCAGGGTCTACCTGGGGGACGCCAGGACTCCACCAACCACTAAGACAGGAATTAGGAGCAGCGCAAACTGTCTTCCCTCTCCTCTGCATGTTGGCTGAAGGAAGGATTCGTTTGATAAGTCTGTTTTGCAATTCTACTATCAAGCACCTCAGCAAATCCTTTGAGAGACAAACCAGCCCCTCCTCTGCCTCCCACACAAAACTGACAAGGGTGCACTTGAAATGAACACAGCTTCTTGCAAAACAGATCTGCATCCTCTCTGCTTCAGAAAGGTGGCAGTGTTGCCTTGCAGTTTTCACCAAATTACAAAGCAGTGGCAATGTCTCTAGCGGATTAACAGACCAACCACCTCACCTCACCATGGAAAGGAGAGGAAGGACTTTAAGCCACTGCTGAACCCAGGGCCTGGCAGACTCCCCTCCCCAGAGCTTCAGGGCACTGAGTCTTGTGGCCACCTAAGCTGTCGACGTTTCATCTCATTTCAACAGAACAGAGCCTAAGAAGATCTCCAACTGACCCCACAGACATCTAAAAGCCAGGAGAATCGAAGGAAGTCACAGACGATCCTTACTTTCCAGCATCCACTCTTCTCATGTTGGAAACATCCTTCCCAAGTGAAACACTGAGTGGTCCCATTTAGAAGGGCCAAGGAAAACTTAGCAAACAGTGCCAGCATCCTTCTAACACCTGTCACGTGGAATGTTAATCCATCTTCTAAGTAGGAGTTCCGCCATTTATTGAGCAGTTTGTTACTACTTTTATAAAACCAGTATTATACACAGAACTATTGACGAAGAACTGAAGAAGACGAGTGTCTCCCTGTCTGCATGTGGACACCCACACGTCACCACCTTCCTCGGGCGCCTACACCAACCCTTGGTGAGGAGCAGTAAGAATTCCCGTCTCTCCCTTCCACTCACCTTCACTCAGCGTCCTTTGAGAAGTTTCTCTATGCGCTACTGACGTAGAAATTTGGGGGAAAATTCTCCATTTATAAATATCAGATGGTTTGGGAAAAAATATTTGTGGCACTGGCCTTTTTTTGTTCTACAGTGATGTCATTTTAAATACTTGGTGTGCTCCAAATTTGCTATTTTTACTTCCCCCAAGTGACTTTTTTGGGAAATACATTTGTTTGGATTAGCTACATTTTAAGTGACCCCTGCATCTAATACACAGCCTCAGGTTCATCTTCTCAGCAGTTATAACTGATATTAGGCAGCTCTCAAACTTGAAATCCCTTATTTGTTCATTTCCCAAGTTGTTCCTTTCGGAGGTACCCCTCCAAAAATTCTATTCACAGGTACAGAGAAAAAGATAAAATGAAAAGATTGGGCTTTTCGCAAACAAAAACCACACTCAACAACTCAAAAGTACTTAAAATGGAAGACATTAAAGGCCCCCAAAGTCAAAGAAAATTTTTCACTTCCAAAATGTGCTTTTGGGGAACGACGCTAAAGTAGCCACGGCAGGCTTTGAAACATTTATTGTAAAGCCAGTCTAGAGCTGAGAAGTGCAGAAGAGGAAAGTTGAAGAAGGAATGCTAAATGCCTTAGCCCTACCTGATCTGAACTTGCTCCTAATCAGCAAAGAGTGCTCAGACCCCAGGAGTGTCATGTTGAGTCTCAGCGAGCCGCTGGTCCCTTTGCCAGACGCCCCCTGTTTTCCACCAGGAACAGGCTCCCAGGAGCCCAGCTGACCGCAGCTAACAACCCAGAATTCATCCAACTCTCCGTGAGCTCCCCTGGGTAGGAGTACAGTGGCAGCCAGTGACCGAAACCAGTGTCCCCAGAAAACTGGCGGCTCCCCCCTCGCTGTGCGGGGCTAATTAACTCTTAGCCAGCAGGACCCTCCTCCTCCTCTGAGTTTGGCCAGGAGCAGCGGCATCCCAGGCGTTCTTGGCTGATGTCATCGGCTGCCAGCGATTGCGGAGTATCACCACCACGCCTTTATGAAGGTCCCAAGTTTGCTATCTGATACTTTTTTACTACTGACAGGAGCTCAGCCAATCAGGAGCGGCGAGCGGGGACCGGGGACTTGCAGCCGCCAGAGGAGTCTGGGGAGCGGGGTCTTAACTCTTTGCGGCGGGCTGAGCGGACGCGGAGCGCGGGGGGCGGGAGGCAGGGCCGGGGTCGGGCCCGGAGGACGCGAAGGGCGGCTGCAGAGCGCGGGGCGTGCGCTGGGGCGCGGGCGGCGGCGGCGGCGCGGGGAGCTCCCGGCCGGGCCGGGTGGTGGGAGCCGCCGGGGCTTCCCCGGGCGCCGGACGCTGGCGGGGAGGCGGCGCGGCGGGGATCTCCCACCCCGGGCGGGCCGGGCGCGCCGCGGCGCTCCGCAGAGGGGCTGGCCCTCGGAGAGAAGCCAGGCTTCCCACGGAGCAGCGTCCCGCATCCCCTCTGCGCTTGCGGGGCTAGGAGCACTGGCAGGGACGAGTACACGTCTCGCACCCCCGGTATCAGACTTGGATGCACGTCCACGGAGAAAATGAAACGCCTTTCATTTTCCGGGGATGTGCTTTTTAAGGGACAAATCCGACTCAGTGCGTGTGCACATCCACAGTGCTCTCCCTCTGGGGGAAGATGCACGAGTTGGACGCCTGATGGGGGTTCTAACGAGGGTGGGAGTCAAGGAGGGAGGGTGTCTGGAGCAGGGGGATGTCAGAGCTGGGGGTGGGCTCGGCTTGGAAAGGCTAAAAGGCTTTTCCTACCAGTGAGTCCCTCAGAGGAAAATCCACTCGGTTCCCAGCACGGAGTTACTGTGCATCTAGAATGTGCCAGGTGTCACATATGAGACAAAGCTCCTGCTCTCAAGAAGCTTCCTTCATAGTGGCACAGAAAATAAAAACCCAACTATATACGTACGTAACTTTGGGTTGAATTGATTTGCAACCTTGTGCTCACGTGGGCCCCCAGGTATCCTCTCTTACATACAGCCTGCTTATGTCTCAGGAGGCCTCTAAACCCTTAAAAGGTCAGTCGGTGACAGATGAAGACCTGATATGACAATAGCTCATGGGACAACTTCTAAGATCCTGAATTTGGGCCTCTGCCTGAATCCTCTGATACTGGAGTTCATTCTTTGGATCTGACCAGTTGTTTGTATAAGTAAGGTATTCTGGTAGAGGCCATTTAATTCCTCATGTGTCAGAAAGGAGGCAGAGCACTGCCGCCTCTGGTCCCCTCGGAAATAGTGTCCCTACCTCAGAGGCCTGTTTACAGGCTGACAGATGTGCAGGAGCCCCTCAGTGATTATGTAACATTCCCATATAGAGTCTATTACTTTCCTAGTCCCGCTGTAACAAATTACCACAAGTTTAGTGCCTTAAAACAACATAAACTTATTATCGGGCGGTTCTGGAGGTAAGAAGTCAGAAACACGTCTCCCTGGGCTGACATCAGGCTGTTCTCAGGACTCCTTTCCCTTCTGGAGCAGCCGGGGAGAATTGTTTCCTTGCCCTTTCCAGCTTCCAGAGGGCGCCCATGTTTTTCGTTTCGTGGCCAAGCCAGCAATGGTGGGCCAAGTTCCTGTCCTGTGATATGGCTCTGCTCTCTCTCCCCCTCTGCCTCCCTCTTCCACTTTGAGGACCCTGGTGATCATATTGGGCCCACCTGGGTAGACCCTAGTGTATGGTCAGCTCTTTATGGACCTTAATCCCTTGGCTGTGTAATGTAACGTATTTACAGATTTCTGGGAAGGGTGTGAACACGTGACGAGGGAGTATTATTCTGCCTGTGATGAGGAGCGACCCCTCTTTCTACCACCCTGTTCTTGTCCCCAGTCGAGCCCCAGGCTCCTCGTCTTCAGTGAAAAGAGGTCAAGTGGAGGGAGACTTGCGAATGCGGATGCACAGGAGTCTGGAAGAACCCTGGCAAGCTTTGGGATGCTCACAGCAGGGAGGTACTTTGGGTAAAGAGATTGGTGGGATAAGGAATGTTGCTAAATGATCTGAGTAGAGAAAAATCTATTCTGAGTAACATTAAAAAATAAAAAAAGAACCAAACAGATTTTTATCCTGAGGACTGTGGAGCTGAGAAGAGATACATGGCAAATTGGCAGAGAACAGTTTTTCCAGTGAAAGTTGTGATGAAAACAGCTGAAGCCAGCATCGAATGCAAGGGTCTGCATGACCTAGAGGAGTTGGACAGGAGTAAATTATGTTTCCTCTGCAGGCCCGAGTGTGTGCGCGTGAGTGTGTGCGCGCGTGTGTGTGCGCGTGTGTGTGTAGGGGAGCATAGTTTCTTTTCTGAGTGGGTTTGGGAAATGCTGGTGGCCATTGCCCTCCTCAATTTTCCCATCATAGCACGGAGCTGCTGACATCTGCCCTCTGAGATTTATACCCCCGAAGGAGTGGAATATCTATGGATATAAATATGCTCATATGGAAGCTCATCCTTCCCCCTCTGTATGCAAGCATTTTTTTGTGAAAAAAAGCTTTTTTGGTGGAATTTGGAGAGGATGTTCCCAAGGGGAACAGATCTCCCAAGCTGCTATGCTTTGCAAGCGTCAGGCTAATGCAGCGATGGCAGGCCACCAAGCTCGGTCCTGCCATTGAACCACCTCGGCAGCACTCCTCCCGTGCCTTGCTACCCTGGGCCCTTCTCTCCTGCGCCCGAGAGTGAGCCTGTGATGTGATGTAGAGAGGAGACATGAGCTTCCAGCATCAGGAAGACCTGCATTTGAGTCTAAGCTACCCCTGTGCCCCGGACTGAGTTATTCACATTCTGAAATGCTCATCATCTTCATGTAGAGTGGAGTCAGAAATACTTACTTCCCAGAATAGTTGGGAAGTTTAAGTGAAATAATACATTTGGAGCGCCCAGACAAATTCTTCCTGGTGTGGTTTAGGTCCTTCTCTTTACCCTCCCCCATCTCCAACCATTCTGGATGATTCCAAGCAATCTTGGATCCTTCTCCTTTGTTGTGGCTTTCCCTTACTTTGCCATTAATTATCTATGGCTGTGTAACAAATCACCACAAATTTAGCAGCTTATAACAACACACACGTTTGTTATCTCACAGTTTCCGTGGGCCAGGACTCTGGGCACGGCTTAGCTGGTCTTTTGCTCCAGACCTCACAAGGCTGCAATCAACTTGTTGGCTGGGGCTGTGGTCTCTTCAGAGGCTCCGTGTCCTCCTCCAAGCTCATTGGTTGTTGGTCGAATTCGGTTCCTGGCAGCTCTAGAAGTCATCATGGCTTGCTTCTTCAAGGTCAGCAGGAGAAGCTATCTTTCGGGGAAGACTCTTAAGGGGCTTACCTGATTAGGTCAGACTCACCCAGGATAATCTCTCTTTTGATGAACTCAAAGTCATACTGATTAGGAACCTTAATTATACCTGCAAAACCCCTTTACTTTTGCCATAAACGTAACCTAATCATGGCAGCGCCATCTGTGACATTCCCCAGCCCCCCCCCCCCACCCCCCACCCCCTTTGCTGAAGGGGAAAGGATTATGCAAGGGTGTAACTCATTGAGTGTCACTTTAGAATTCTACCTTCCACAACTGTGGTCCTTGGCCTTCAGCCGAGGTGGCGGTGCATATGTCTGTAGGCGTAAGTCCCAAGCTCAGCTCAGGGCAGTTGGCTTGAACTCTGACCCCTTATGGACCTCCTGATGGGGCAGCAATAAGTCAGCTGCTAGGTCACAGGATACAAGGTGGTGAGCAAAGGAACAGCTCACCTCGCTTGACCTCAGGACCTCCAGTTTTCCCCTTCTTAGCACAATCCCCTCACCCCACCCAGGGTCATCACCGTCTTCTTGGGTCTCCTTGTCTTCTCCTCAGTGCCTATTCCTGGTACCGCCTCTTGTCTGCTTTATCTTTTTTCTCTCACATGTTTGATGAGCAACTTCAGGGGAACATTTGTTCCTGTTTGGCCTATTAATTGCAATGCGTGTTGGAATCTGTGCAAGTCCCATTGGCAAGTGCCCTCGTAGGCGTGCAGTCTAGAGACAGGTTTGCAAACTCAAATGATAGGATCAGGGATACGAGAGAATGTGGTGGGGAGGGGCTTGTGTGCAGCAAACCTGACAGCACATGGCTTGTCCAAATGGATCAGCAGTAACCTAGCTCTAGTTAACTGTACACGTGTGTGGGGAATCCAGACACTTGTTACCATTCCTTCCAGTTGTCCAGACAAACTGCAAATCCAGATTGTCATGTTCAGCTATTGGATGTTTAAAAATGTGAGCAACTATTAGTAATTAAAAAAAAAAGTTTTAAAACACAGTGTGAGTCAATGAGGGGCAGATCCAGGTTGTGGGACCTGAGCTTTATACAAGTTGTGGGTCCTTTAAAAGACAAATGCAAAATTAGAAATATGATGTTAGTGCAAGCGTGACTATTGACTTAGAATGAGAAATGGAATCACAGCTAACTGGAGCGTGGAAGATTCATTTTCTTTATTGTGAGATCCTTCAGTCAACTGACCGGTAATGGTAATGCGGAAATGCTTCCTAACTGCGTCCTGGCTTGCTCTTCCCACCTGGAACTCTCTGGAACTTTCAGCTACTCCCAGCACCCACGGGGCTGGTGCACGAAGGGAGCCCTGAAGCTTAAGCTTCATTAACTTAATGGTAAATCCAGATCTGGAGCCAATAAAACATGTCTGCAAGCTTAGTGAGACTCAGATGGCACTGCTTTGCAACGTCTGCTGTGAAATCTGTGCTCTGATCTCCAAGAGGTTCCATCTAGACTCCAGGAGGGGGGGTGAAACATGTACCACCAAGTTGCCTATTTAAGGAATTACCTATTTAGGAATACAGACTCAGCCTATCAATTTGTTTCAATTCCAGAAATATTTATTAAGCACAGACTGTGTTCTAGCACTGTAGAGATTATAAAGATACAGCAGCTATGATCCTGGACCTGTAGGGCTAAGAAGAAAGTGGTGGGGCATCCACAAACCCTCGACAAACCAGAAATCCAATGTCATTATTACCCTGGTAATGTAATGAAATCTCAGATGGCATTCGTCTGAGCCACTCTATTGATATAAC